TCCCCATGAAGGCCCCCTTATTTCAGGATCCTTTGAATGGTCAGGCATGCGGTTTTTCTTGTTTGCTAGGACGCGTCTTTTGAATGTTGGAGATGAATACTGGGGGTTCCAAAAATGGTGATTAGAATATACTGGCATCACAGAAAGGGGACACTCTTTTTTTGGAAGCTCCACGAAACTTCCCCAGAAACATAAGTTCTGACATTGTAGCGTGTCTTTTCCTGTACCTGTAGCTTCCTCTTGTTAGAATACAGAATCCCGGGAAAATGCCTGGTAATCCTTGAAATCAGAAACAGCTCGGAAAGCGCACCTTCTGCATTTCGAATGCCTTGCGGCGAACATTCGGATCCTCGCAAGTGCTGAAATGCGCTCGGTCAGAACTGGACAAAAATACCATGAAATGAGGGCTTCAAAGAACTAGGGGCCCCTTTTTTGGTAGCCCCTGCATGTTGGGGCCTGCGTCATGGCCCCATGTTTATGGATACCTGCCAGTAATGCACCGTGACAGGATCACCAGAACCATGACATCTGCACTCCTGCTCAACACAATTCGGATCCTAGTGACATCGTCCCCGAATGCGTTTGAATATGTCAGTTTTGGGGGCTGGGTGCCCAATTTCGGCCACAATCTACAGTAATCCCCACAAGAATCCCCGCGATAAAGCCTTCCAAAATGAGATCTCTGATCTTTGGAGACCGCCATGTTAATCTGACTCAAACATCTTCATTCCCATTGCAGGGTTTAATTAGTGCTTAGGGCTCAAAAATGTCCACTCCGTCTGCCTGGGAAACGGACCCGCACCGGCGGTCATAGTCCTGCGCTACGCCCCAAAGAGCCGAATACCCCTTTACTAAGGCATATCCCCTAAATTCTATAACAAGGAATCCTAATACGATTTAGGGAATATTTCTGAAATAAGGGGTATTGGGCTCCCTGGGGTAAAGCAGAGCATGAGTACGTGGCCGAATTTTGGAGTAGCACCAGGAAAGTCTTGGTTTCTTTTTGGGTTTAGGAGTTACTTCCAGGCTGTTGATCCACGTGTCTATCTGTAGCACTCAAGGCGATGCTACTGCCCTAAACCCTGAACCCTAAGCACCCTAAACCCTAAACCCTAAGCGCCAAGCCCCCTACACCCTAAACACTAAGCCCCCCAACCCTTACCCCTGCCTGCTTTTGAGTCGAGACCCGCTAGCGGCTAGAGAACGGTGGGGGTATGCCCTTAAGCCCTCAATGCACGCTCCACTGCCTTAAGCCAGCCGTAGCACAACAGGCAAACAGAGTTTAGGGATTTAAAGCTTGGGGACGTTGTTACGGACTTGGGATTCTCGGCTTTCTCGGCGTGGGGCTTGGGGTGTAAAGTTTGAAGATCAGGTCTCCTCACGGAATCGTGCTAGGCAAGCGGCCACCACGACCATTGCTTCACGCAAGCAAAAGCTCTGGGTGCATCGAATCTCTAGTTGCGTTTAGGTGGGGGTTAGGGGGTTAGGGGCTACAGTAACGGCCTAAAAAGGTTTTGGGCGAACCTGCTGCGTAAGGCTAGAAATCCATCTTGGTGCCTGCCGGTTTTGCTGAAGCTCAAGCTAGGCGATGGATTGCAGTTCATGCAAAGATGGCAGGGGCATGGGTCTCACTGGCATGAGATATTCTCACTGTCTGCAAGTTCACAAATGCAAGTTTCTCCACAACAGGATGGCTCCATATAGCCCCACAAGAACAACGTCATCCCCACGATAAGGACCATGATGCGGAACTTTCGGGCTCTGGCCTCGGGGGAAGGCTGAGACGCCTGAAGGATGATGAAGCATCTCTTTTTTCACGCTCGCACGCTCATGTCACTGAAGCTTCTGATGCCTCGGGTCAGGCGCCACGTCCTTCAGAATCCACACTGCACTCATCCCGCTATGCTGAAAAGAGGGACACACATGCTGCGTAGAGCCCTTGCGTGAAGAAGCAGCCTGCAGCTTGATAACTTGAGAAAAAAATGTTTGGTTGCAGCCCAATCTCCACCGCACCTCCTAGAATGCTGTGGAACCCTAGCTTCGTGCTCCCTCACTCTGAGACTTGTCAGCTGGGCCACCCCCAGGTCCACAAGGCTCCAAGCATTGACGTGTGTGGGTCCGACTTGAGCCTTTGACAGACCTATCTGCAAGTTGCAACAGCTACAGCTGCATGGCCTTTGGAAGACTTTTATGCGGCACATGCGGCACACCCCCAGTCACTGGCATCCAGGCTATTAGCCGATCACTCAGTGTCTGACTCACACGGCAGGTTGATGAACTGCAGCCCCACCTCACAAGAGATTGACAGCCAACAAGCAAAGCCACTGAGCAAAGATGCTGATCTGGAGTTTACAGCTCTGGTCTCGTTACACAACGTGTGGCCTCCACAACAACCACGGACTGAGCGCACACACCAACCAAGTTTCTTGCAGACGGCGAATGCGTGTTGCACAGTCTGTCTTAACTGGAAAAGCGTTCTTTTGAAACAGCAGGTGGATGCCACCCGTGCAGGTCAGATGCTGCAGTGGGCACATGGAACGGGGCAGTTTTAATTATCTGTCTTTCAGTTTGCGGAGGCTGCGCATTGCCTGTACCTCCGCACTGCAAGTTTCTTTCAGCTGCCGGAGGCTGCGCATTGCCTGTACCTCCGCGCGGCAAGACATGCAGGTATTAACACGGAAATCGATGGAAGATCGCAGGTCATGCAAAGCGATATGTACATCTTGAGGTCATCTTGACCGCCTCACTCTCGGCAGCCTCACCTGTTGCAGGGACAGACTCTGCCACACATGCTGCCTAGAGCCCTTGAGAACTTTGAAAAAGGCTACCAGCCTAAATTAGAATGCTGTGGAACCCTGGCTTCGAGAGACATGTCAGCCAGGTGACCCCCAAGTCCACAATGCTCCAAGCATCGACATTCCTGGATCGGAAGCTCCATCATCTGTTTCCTCCGCCTCGGTCTAACAACTCGCGCGGGAGCGGGAAGGACACCATGCAGTGGGCGGTATAGTGGACCCTGTAGCCTGTCAACAGCCGGGCTCCCGACTCCCCGGCGTGTCTCACCCCGGAGTTGAAGTTGAACAGATTTAAACTTTTTGGGCACAGAAAGCTGTGCCATGGAGGCGCTGCCAGGATCCATGTCCACGGGGCCTCTTTGGGTCCCCAAAACTCCCAGGAGCCAGAACATGCAGAGCATGCTCACCAGAATGTGGAGCCACAAAGGGCGCCTCGGCGCCCTGGCCTTCTTCACCTTCTTCACCTCCAAAATCGGGGGCAGGGCCACCCCTGGCACCTCTGCCAAGGGCGCCAGCTTCTCTTTCAGCTCTGGGATGATTAGCAGGCGAACATCCCAATCGGTCTTCACCTCCTTGGTGCGCTTCTCGAACTTGTCCGGCCACTCGTATGACGGCAGCGGGGACAGCTGCGGCTCCAGACTTAGGAGCAAGGATGCCTCGGCTACAAATGACGCAGCGAGCCTAACTCTGCAATCACAAAAACTCGAACCCAAACCTCAACAGTCCGCGGCGCGATGAGCCGCGGGAAGAGCTCCGGCTCATCTCCATGGAGCACGTGCTCCGCCAACTCTCCCACGGCCTCCAACCCAAAGGCCAAGGAGAAGAGGGACCTCAAAGCTTGGCACGCTCACACTGATGGCCAATCCGTCCCCGGGTCGGGGAGAGCAAGTGTTCTGAGCTCACTGATGGCCAATCCCTTGCGGGGTGAGAGAGAGAGAGATAGAGCCCTGACCCCCTCACGCCCTATGCTGTCTCAAAAACTAGACACGGCTGCAAAACTCCAAAAGAAGAAGAAATCAGGGGACTACTCACTGCTGCGTCCGCGCGGCACATGCCATCCGAGCATGGTGCCTGCAAACATCACGCACGCAGGCTGTGTGACTCTTTCAGCCGAACACCAAGTGCGAGGTGATCCCCACTGCCTCCAACTATTGCTTGGATCTCCAGGCATTCGTCGCAGAGGTCTGCGAAGGTCGGGTTCTTGGCCCGAACGAGGCGCCACCTCAGTGTCGGCACACGCGGGGATCTTGCACAGCTCTTCCTGCCAAT